CCCTTGATGCGGTCCAGCCCTTGGCTGGCGCAGGTGAGCGCCCGGCTGAGTCCCCGGCGACCCTTGGAGGTCCCCCTACGCCCCCGCCCGGCACTGCAGGGAGTGAGCGACTGCGCGTTGGGTGGGGGTGGGGGGCCGGGCGCCAGCTCCTTTGCGCACACACGTGCCCCTTGAGAGTGCGTGGGGAGTGTGGGCATGTGTGTGCGCATAGGCGGCTAGCGCGCGTGGCACCTTCCTGGAGGCGAGCGTGTGAATCTGTGATAAGGATGCTCCATGTACGCCTCCGTTTCTCGCGCTGCGCTTGCGGCAGTCTATTCGTGGGTCGCCCAGGTCCCGCTCCGACACAGTGCTGGGTGGCTGCTCCCGCGCAGTGGAAGGACGGCTAATTGGGTGTAAAGGGGTCCCAGGATCCCCAATTCCCGCCCAGGTTCCGTGACCTTGGGGCTACCAGCTCCCTCCCAAGCGCTCAGTATTGTATGGGGAGCCTGGAGGGGGACCTCCCAAGACCCGAGGTCCCGGGCGAGCCGGTCTTTCCTGCTGAGGTGATTTTCGTTTAAAGATTAATGGTGAGGCTGAGCTCTTAATTATTGGCTGAGGTGGAAGGTGGCAGGAGAGGCGTGTTAATATTTGATAAGGAGGTGAAGGCGCTGCGTGTGGCTGGACACAGAGCCCGTGGAGACACCTTAACCTCCGCCTCACATGGCACCAACTTCTTCGAAGGAAGCTCTCATCCGATTTCAACCTACCCCTTCTGCTAGTCCCCAGCCGGGAAGAGATAGGGGTCCTCAGGTTGTTGGGCCGGCCAAGTCAGGTGCTTGGAGTCACAGAGTGAGAGGTGAGGGTGGCTGGCTGGAGGGGCATCTAGCAAGCAACTCTGCCCTTCCCAGAGCAGGAGGGAAGAGAAAAGGCAAGAAGCAAAGAATTGCTTTGTAGGTTTGAAACCTACTAAGCTGCAGGGCTTAATAGAAGAGGAATGCTTTGCAATTAAATATGTGCTGCTTTGTGTTGTGTGGTCTTGAGTAAAGTCATTTAGCCTCAATTTCCTCAGTTACAAAAAAAAAAAAAAAAAGGCATGATGATTCTGGTACCAGAGGTTGTTTTAAGGATTCAAGTAAGACAATGGGTGTAAATGCTTGCAAGGCACAGCAAGCGCAGCCTTCACTAATCTTGGTTTCCCATTTAGCACCTGGGCTTTCTGACTGGGACCTAGGGCATGAATCCCTAGAATATCTGCTCCCCTGAGAGAGCTGGAAGGGAGAGGTGGGGAAGTTCCATTCAGAGCCCCAGACCCTTGCCAGGAGTTGCTGAGACTTTGCCCTGGACACTCTTGGATTTTGCTGAGCTGTTTTTCAGGATCCCCTTCTTCCCTCTGGAGTGGAAGGGTGGGGTGAGCAAGGTCCACCAAAGAAGGCTTCTTTAGTAAATTCTGAAGAAGAGTGCTAGGAGGTAAACCAACGGTGGGGGACTTTCTGGGTGACTGGCAGTGTTTTTTAGGTCTTAGTCCTAGTGTGGTGCTGTAGAATAAGCACTGGACTGCTAACCGAAAGTTCGGTGCTTCAAATCCTTGGAAACCCTATACAAGGTTGCTATGACTTGGAACCAACTTGAGGGCACATTAACAACATGTCCTGGTGTGGCGCTGCAGAATAATGCACTGAACCAAAAGGTGAATTTGAACTGCAAGGTCGGCAATTCGATGGCACTTAACAACCACAACAATCCTAGCTCTAGTCAGGGTAGATAGACTAGGTAGAACTTTGGTTTGAAGTTAAGACCTATAGGTAAACCTGCTCCTTCCCAGGGCCTCTTGTAAGTGACCTCTGTCAGTGAAGTAGTCATTTCCACAAGGGTGGCCATCCTCTGAGCAAGTATTGGACTCTGAGCTGCTTGAATCTTTTGCCTAAGCACCAGCTCCCCACCCTCACTCCACGGATCTAGACCTGGCCCCTGGCCTCATTAACATTATGTTTTTCTGCCTCCTGCCTCCTGAAGAGGAAGATAGTTTACAAGACAGTTAACGCCAATCAGGTCAAAAGTTTCTGTTGATTAAGACGGTGGATCAGAGGTCACCCAGGCGCCAGAGCCAGGAAAAATCCAGTTCCTAAGAAAAGCAGAGTCTGGGCCAGATGGACTCCGAGGAAACTGACAAGGAGTCAGAGCTGCCTTCTGAGAACACTTTCCCTAGAATATCTTTACCTCAGGCTTCCAGTCTTGAGGATGGGCCAGCTGGATGAAGGAGGTCCCTTTGGTTTTCAATGTGTCACAGTGGTAGGGACACAAGCGGAAATAACAAGGAGCTCCTCCTAGGCGCAAATGGCCTTTTCTTCATTATTTCCTTGAACATGTAAGAGTGTTCTGTGAGGCCCAGATTATTGGTGGCTCTTCTGAGTGCGGAGGAATGTAAGGCTTAGAGAAATTAATTGATTCTCCTAGAGAGATTAAGCTAGAGGCCAAGCCAGGGTTGACATCCAGGTGAATAAATTCCAGCTCATAAACTCTGTCCATTTGTAGGAAGGGACCTGGGTGGAATCTACCACTGCTCGCTGCAGATTTGACTCTCAAGGGGGTCTCCCTGATTCAGCAACTCCCAAGGGCAGGGGGTGGACCATCATGGGGAAGATGCTGCAGGGCTGGCCACCTCTCAAGAAGGCTGTGCTAGCAGAGTAGACAAAGCACTTGATCCAGAGTTTCAAAACTTGAAAATCCAAGGTGGCTCTGAGAGCCCAGAAAGATAAAGGACCCTTTTACTCTCTTTGACCTGTAGAACCCCACCCTTACCCCAACAAGTGCCTGACCTACCCAGGGCTTCCTTCTCACCTGTCTCTACTCCAAAGACTCCTGCCAGACCCAGGTCTGAGAGAAGATTAGAGTTGGAGGGAAACCAGCCCTGGAAAGGGAGGGAACAGAGAGATGGACTCAAGAGAGCTCAGTCAGTTTGAGCTGAGAGCTGTGCTTTGTTGAGGAATGTTCTTCCCAACTTACTTCATTCTTTCCTTTCTCTACCCCTCCTGACTTTTGGCATTCTGGCGACCAGAGGGAAGAACTGGATCATGATGGAACTTTACTACGATGTGTCTGTTAAAAAGGGTGCTGGAGGGGTCAGATTAGAAAACTTCAAGAGGTGGAAGGAGAACCCTGATCATTAGACTATCATGGCTGATTCCCAGGAGGCAGAGGTCAGATACACCTCCTCTCTCCAACCCTTTCACCAATTCTGAAACCAACCTACAAACTCTCCCACCCACAATGCTCTACTCTGCTGGATTCAATCATTCATTGCAATGGCCACACAAAACTCACAGATGATACTCACAGTTATGGGATTTCTTAAGGAAACAATAGGTTACAATTCAGGTTCAGCTCTTCTCAGCTGTGCCCATAGGCCTTTAGCTCCTCATCCACCCTACTCCACCAGTAAGCTTCAGCCCAAAGGCCAAAATTCATGGGTCAGTGAGCTCCAAGTGTCAGGAGCCACCCTACGTTGCCATTAAGCCTCCTGCTCCAAGGTGCTTGACTTGTTCACTAGGTAGACTGGCAAGCCCACCATGCTATCTATCTCCTGCCTGTCTCTTGGTTCTGCTGCCTCCGCTGCCACCATTTTTCTGCTGCTGCTTCTCACTGGACCTTGCTGTTTCCTGTATTACAACTTTCTGTCTCCTGGGTTGATGTGGGGAAGTTCTCAGTGCAAGGATCCCAGATCCAAAGGATGTTAGCCCACCCCTGTCTCTTCTTTTTGGTGATTGTGACTTCTCCTGTGCTTTGGGATTGACTCTCTTTTAAATCTAGAGGAATGGCAAAACCAATTTATCAGCATCTCCTTAGCGCTCCATGCATGGTCCTATTCCCACAAGGGTGCCATATGCATTATTTACACCATTATCTCTCTCTCTTTTTTTTAATGAAGAAATTGAAAGTTTCATTATTAAACTGTTTCTTATTTTGCTGCAAGACTGTTGCCTCATTGTATAATAATAGCACCTGCAAAGGCAAGTATATCACAAGATTAAGATAGTATTATTCTTCAGCTGATACTATACAACAAACAAAATCGACACTCTCAGTCATTTTCAGTGGAAAGATCATTGGGTACTGTGACCCAAATTCAGGTATGGATATCAGCAATAGCTACAAGGTAGCGTAGTGGTTACGAATCGGGCTGCGAACCTTAAGGTCAGCGGTTCGAAACTACCAGTCGCTCCGCGGGAGAAAGATGAGGCTTTCTACTCCCGTAAAGATTTACACCCTCGGAAACCCTGTACAGGGTCGCTATGGGTCGGACCCGACTCGATGGCACTTAACAACAACAACAACAACAATAGCTACAAAATTATGCAAGACTTGAGATAACAATGTAATCATTGAAACAACTAATTTCTGTAACTATTCTATGAAACATAATTTCATGAATTCTGAATATTATAACTACATGCTACCCTAAAAATCACAGGGGTTGTGGAAAACATGCATATTGTATTAATCTGCAGACATTAGAAAGTTAAGGAATGATTTCTTCCAACAGCATAGTTGTAACAAGTAATTCTTGTTTTCCATTGGTATTACTAAAAGCTATTTTATTTGATCCATTACTAATTTAAGACAACTATACTGGAGTAAGTTGTTTCATACTAGTTTATTGAGGGGTTCCATTCTCAGTCCTCAATCGATTTTATGTATTTCTCATATGCTTCTTCACCCATTAGTTCATCAAGTTCTGAAGGATTGTTCAATGTCATCTTCATCAGCCAACCATCTTCATAACAGGATTTGTTAACGAGTCCTGGATTTTCAGTAAAAGCGTCGTTAATTTCTGTTACCTCTCCTGATAAAGGAGAGTAGAGTTCACTAGCGGCTTTCATACTTTCCATAGCACCAAATTCATCTTGTTTATTCAATTTTGTTCCAACTTCAAGAAGACTGCAGTAAACAACATCTTCCAAAGCGTCCTCTGCAACATTGCTGATTCCTACTGTTCCAATACCATCGTCTGTTGTAACCCACTCATGTTTGTCTGGGAACTTACCGAGAACAAAGCTTGGCGGGTGCGCAGCATCCGCATGGCACCCGGTCCTGGCTCTCAGCGGCTGGGCGCGCTGGGCGCCGAGAGTAAGCGCAAGCTACAGCCCGAGACCCACGTGCTCGGCGCCGCTTGTGGCGCCCGCTGTGTTCACAAGGTTCGGACGGTCGCCTCGCAGCACTCGGGCTCCTGGCAGGTGCGAGCACACCAGCTCTCTCTCTCTTTTTTTTTTTTTTTAAGTTTTTATTGTGAATTATGTGTTAGTTTGCATGGGTGAACATTATCTTTACATTCATTCTATGGTACTTTATTTCACTGAAATGATCACTATCCCTGCATGCATTATGAAACACCCAAAGGGTACACCCCACACTCCTGCACACCCTCCCACGCCCACCAGCACACAACCCCTGTCCCTCCCTGAGTCCAGAGCCCCCAGCCGCTCCTTTTGTTCCCCTCATTGCTTCTGCCTCCATCCCTAGTATCACTGCTTCTCCGGAGCGACAAGGTCTGCACTTGGCTTTTCTCCCTTGATGGTTCCAGGGATCTCCGCTCCAGGACTGCAAAATCAGCTGCTCCCTCTTTTTGTTACCAAACATTTACACTTACCTTTCCAACACCCACTGTCAGACCTGATAGCAGTCATTCCCTATTGAACCACAGGAGTCCTTTTCCCCCACACCTTTTATTAACCCCATCCAGACAGGTTGGAAACAACTCAGTGGAGAGTCTACCTTTCCCTGTATCTTCTGGAGCTAGGTTCCCTATTGAAAGCTTGTAAGCCAGTCACTTCTTGCCTTTGTAGTCCCCCCATTTTGGGTAGCCAATGTCTAAGTTCCCCCTCCCTGTTGACCCTGTGTACCAAGGGGGTGGGAATGATCCTCACTGTAGAGATTTATCCATTCCTTTGTCATACTGCATCTGCAATCATAGGTCGGGATCATCCCCTTATAGTGGGTTACTCCTTTTTTTTTTTTTTTTAACCACTTCTTTCTTCCTCTAGTCCTGTTCTGATCATCCAGCCATTGATGCCAGGTCAAATGGGTACTATCTGCAAATGTGGCTGTTCTTGTTCATCCCCCCCCTTATCTTTATATCAGCTGGATGCTTCACACTTTTTTCTAGTCCTCTGGGGCCATGTTCCTGCCCCTGGGCCCAGGCGTCCCCAGGTCTCCTCATACTGCTGGTTAACCAGGTCTCAATCCAAGGTAACAGAAGTCTATTGAATGTGGTCAGACTTAGTTCACAACTTCATTGCTGTTTTTCCCCCTCTTCCGCTTATCAGTGACCAAGGAGGTCAGCAGCAGGACCATATGCCTGCTAGTGTATTCCATTTGAGTTTCAGTCTTGGAAGGGGGTTTGCCTTGAGGGGACCTGACCACTTGCCTTGATGGCTCCCTGGGGAACAACTTGCTTATCCTTGTAATAGTCAATTAGACTGCTGTTGTTATTTATTTATTTATTTTTTTCCTTGCTGGCCTTTCTTTCAAGAAGTAGCTTCTGTTCTTCTAGCTGCTCCAGACTGGTCTGCTTGTCCTTTCATGTGGGAATGTCCCACCTCAGAAGATTCTGGATGAGGATCAGGATTCCACCTATAGGCTCTGCAGGGAGCTTCCTTCACTGGGCAAGTTCTAGGCCCATTTTAGTTATTCCAAACAGTTATAGGCTGAAGACAGACTTACAAGCTTTGTCTGCTGATGTTTCAGGCTATTCCTCTCTCTCCCCTTCAAGCGTCTATTGACAATAGTGGGCAAGGGAAACCAAGATTCAACAGAGAGCCAAGCATCTTAACATCATTTCCCCACTTTAACCCATTCAAACCGTGTCTCAATCTTTGTATCCATGAGCCCTGCTGTTCCATGTTTGTGCTTAGATCATTTAGCCCATGTAAACCTGCCTAGCTATTCTCCCATCTGCCTCATTTTTCCTTTCCCCTTCCCCTTCTAGTGTATTGCACACCCCAGCACCATACTATCGTGTGCCTATTCCCTACCCTGTGCTCCACCTTCCCCTCTCTCCCCCTCCTACCTCCTCATCCCACACCATTATCTCTTACATCTTAATTTTTCTATTACTTACATCATAAACCATCCAATCCTCTTGCTGTGCCAAAAGACCTTATTTGCATGGTCTCCCAGGTCATTGTGTGGGTATCCCAAAGACTAGGACTGTTATTAAGTACTGTAGAATCATTTCTGATTCATGTATACGGTTTCTGAGGAGAGGCTGGTGAGTTTGAACTACTGACCTTGCAGTTCAAACCAATTTGTGGTCCAGTGCTTATCCTACATACAGCACCACACCAGGACTCCAAGACTATGACTAAAAGATTCCCTAAGTTCATTAAGTAATGAACTGCTCCTCAGTGCCGGGCGATCCTCTTTTGGAAATGCTGTATACTTCCCATCGATGCCATTTAATCCTCCCCACAGCTTTACCTGTGCTTTACTGACTATGCAAAGTATTCCGATTGTGTGGATCATGACAAGCTATGGACAACATTGAGAAGTATGATTATTCCAGAACACTTAATTGTGCTTATGAGGAATCTGTACATGCACCAAGAGGCAGTTGTTCGAACAGAACATGGGAACACTGAATGATTTAAAATTAAGAAAGGTGTGCGGCAAGGTTGTATTCTTTCATACTTATTCAACCTGTATGCTGAGCAAATAATCCACAAAACTGGGTTCTGTGAAGAAACACATGGCATCAGGATTGGAGGAAGACTCTTTAACAACCTGAGATATGCAGATGATACAACCTTGCTTGCTGAAAGTGAAGAGGACTTAAAATATTTACTGATGAAGATCAAAGACCACAGCCTTCAGTATGGTTTGAATCTCAATGTAAAGAAAACAAAAATCCTCACCACTGGACCAATAAACAACATTCTTATCAACTGAGAAAAGATTGAAGTTGTCAAGGACTTCATTCTTCTTGGATCAACTATCAACACTCATGGAAGCATCAGTCAAGAAATCAAACGACGCATTAGGCAAATCTGCTGCACAAGATCTTTTTGGGGTGTTGAAGAGCAAAGATGTCAGCTTGAGGACTAAGGTACGCCTGACCCAATCCATGGCATTTTCAATAACCTCATATGCATGTGAAAGCTGGACAGTGAATAAGGAAGACCATCCAAGAATTGATGCTTTTGAGAAATAGTGTTGGTGGAGAATATTGAAAGTGCTATGGGTTGCCAAAAGAACAAACAGATCTGTGTTGGAAGAAGTGCAGCCAGAGAAACTTCATCTCTCATACTTCGGACATATTGCCAGGAGGGGCCAGTCACAGGAGATGGATAAGCATGTTTGGTAAAGGTGGAGGGTCAGAGAAAAAGAGGAAGACCTCCATGGAGATGGATTGGCAAACTGGCAGCATCAATGGGCTCAAACGTGGCAGTGTTTTGTTCTGTTGTGCATAGGGTCACTATGAGTCGGTACCGACTTGATGGCACCTAACAATAACAACAACAGCTTTATGAGGTATTGCTAATCACATTTTACAGACGATAAAACTGAGGCTCAGAGGGAGCAAGTGACTTGCCCCCTAAACCAACAGCTCCTAAGTGACCCAACCAGAATTCTCAGCCCTGGGGTCAAATGTTTTGTCCACCCTGCTGCTGAGGTCCTTTTCAGCGATACCAGCTTCTACTGGGAGTTCTGGTGTGACGCTATGGATTAATGCGCTGGACTGCAAAGTCAGTTTGAACCACAAGGTTGGTGGTTCAAATTCACCAGCTGCTCTTCGGAAACCCTCCACAGGGTTGCTGTGGGTAGGAATCGACTCAATGGCACGTAACAGCAATAAGCTTCTACTGGCCTAAGGAGGGCCAGGATTAGAACTCAAGTCTGTCTGACCTCATAGTCCAGGACTACTGGATGGTAGGGTCAGAAGGAGAACAGGGGTAAAGGTCTGGCTGCCTTCCTCTCACTGAGAGATTAACCAAGAATGGGTTTTAAGAATACAAGGTAAGTGAGTGTTCCCCAGGCAGGGCCACCTAATGGCTTCCATCATTTAGGACCAGCTCTGGGAAAGCTGCCAGGCTGAAGCTGCAGGTTCTATTGTCCCACGGAGGGGAGGTAGGTTCCTAATCCTTCCACTCCCCTTTTGGCAGTCTCTCCTCTTGGATTGGGCTGAGAGAAAGCAGGGCAGGAGGGGGAGGCTGTTGAACAAGCCCTCAAGAGTTCACCAGCCCTTGCTAGAGTTGACCAGCCTCAGAGTACCTGTCCCTAAGGACTGGCAGCTAATTTGCCCTGCTCTGCCCAAGGGACAGGGTCCTGATGTGGTGCTGTAAGACAAGCACTGGACTGCTAACCACAAAGTCAACTGTTCAAACACACCAGCTATTCCACGGGAACCCTATATGGGGTCGCTATGAGTCAGAACCGACTTGATGGCACTTAACAACACCTAAGGGACAGTGTTCTGAGAAAGATGACCCGGCTGCCTCTATTGTCTCTGCGTCAGTTATCCAGGGTTGCTATAACAGAAACACAACAAATGGGGGATTTAATAAACAGAAAGTTATTTTCTAACAGGCTAGAAGTCCAACTTCCAGATTCAGCTCTAGACTAGGGGAAGGCTGTCTCTCTCTGGGTTTTCTCAGTTCTGAAAGAAGGTCCCTCAATTTATCTCTTCAATTTCTATTCCTTCGCTCCTTGGAGCCTTCATGTGGCATGGCAGCTCTCTTCCTCCCGTGTCTGCTTCGCTCTGCTTGCTTGTTTTAAACCTCCAAAGAGATTTACCTTGGTGTGGCATTGTGGCTTAGTGTGCACTGGACCGCAAGGTCGATTTGAGCTGAAAAGTTGGGAGTTAGAGTTCACCAACTCTCCTCAGAAACTCTATGAAGGGTCACTATGAGTCAGAACTGACTCAAAGGCACTTAACAACAACAACAACAACAACAATCTCGCCTCATTAACATAACAATGCTAACCCATTCCCAAATGGGATGATAACCATAGTCATAGAGGTTAGGATTTATAACACACATTTTGGGGGGATTTAGTTCAATCCATAACAACCTCCTTCCCCATCCCTACTTTTCTTCTTAAATCTCCTTTTCTTGAGCCCTCAGTCCCAGACCCCAGGAAGGTTCCACTTCCAATCCAAGGAAGGGTCTGATCTCAGGGATTTAGCCAGCCTCTCATCTCTCCCCACACATACACACAGTGGTGTGTGTGCACAGTTAAAATGGGCTCAGAGTTATGCGTGTACACATACATCACCATGTATGCACATGTCTCACTCACCCTCTTCCCTTCTCTGGTCCAGAGTCGTCACACTGGTGTTACGAGATTCAAGCCAAGGCCTCCAACTACACCTGCTTGGGTGAGTACAGCAAGGGTAGGTCTGGTGGCAACTATTTGGCTGAGGTTAAGACCCAAAAATGTTGGGGAGGGTAAAGGGTGATGGTAATCCCCACACCAATATGGGTCCAGGTGTGGTACTGGACCGCACAGTGGGTTTGAACCATAGAGTTGGCCACTCAAGCTTAGGAGCAGCTCCTTGGAAACCCTATACAGGGTCGCTATGAGTCAGAACCAACTAAATGTCATTTACAACAACAACAACATACACACACGCACACTTTCCTGGGGCTCAGGGAAGTGGATGCTTTGTACTTTTTATTCAAATGTGAATCAGTTTCTCTGAGTCTGTGTTCTTCCTGTCCCTGCTGTGTTTGGATGACTGGACATTACTACTCCACTCCTGCCCCTGCCCAACCTAGTTTTGGTGTTGCCTGGGTAACCTGTTACCATCCTCCAACCTTGCCCTCACCCTCCCTGTGAGGGCTCTGCTGGAGGCGAGGCAGTGCCTAGTGTCCTCATGTCCTGTCCTGTTCATCCACAGCAGTTTTTCCCTGGGGCATGTAGTCCAACTTTCACAGCCCTCTCTTAGTCTCCTTCAAAAATCAGCCTCCCTGGGAAGCAGGTGTCATTGCTAGTCCCATATTACAGATGAGCAAAGCAGGGCTCTGAGAGGCCAAATGATGTGTCCAGCATCACTCATTTGTCTCTGATCCCAGACCTCAAAGCCACCAACAAGCAACCCTGTTCTCACCCTGTCCCCACACCTGTCAGCTCTGCATGTAGGTCTGTGGAAGAGGAAGAGGAGGGAGACTCAGGGAGGGTGAGAGCTTTCCAGTATGCTTAGCCCTTGCCTGCATGTGAGCTGGAGGCTTGGGCCTAACCTCAGCATAGAGAAGGGGCCCCTGACTCTCAGTGTGTCCTCTCTCCACACTCAGAGCCAAAAAGGTGGGATGGAGAGTGCCAGAAAAACCGGCAGTCCCCCATAAACATTGTCACCAGCTTGGCGCAGCTGGACCACAAACTGAAGCCCTTCTCCTTCTCTGGCTATGACAAGAAGCATATGTGGACTGTTAAAAACAATGGCCACTCAGGTGGGTCTCAGGTGACCTGGCAGGGACCCAGGTGGGCATGGACACTGGGACTATAACCCCCCTTAATGCCCTAAGAACTGTATGTAAGAGGACGGCTCTTCTTGGGGAGGGGCACTGGCTGTAGTTCCTCATTTGTTGGGGGCTTCAGCTAGGAGGGAATACTCCAGCCCTATTTTCATCAGACTAGCCTGGACTGGGGGAGGGGCGGCATTCCAGGAGATCGGAACAATGTGTGCAAAGGCTGGGAGGCATGAAGCAGGTTGGGGTGTTCAGAAAACTGCACGCAGTTCCATTTGGATGAAGGTCAGAGTGTGGCACATGGAGGGGTCTGAGCCAAGGTCAGGGTCAGCTGGGGTGAGGAGTTTGGACATTACCCTAAAGATGCCAGAGCACCACAGAGAGGTGAAAGTAGGGGAGGGCCAGACCCCCGTGGCATGTTTGGCGTTGTGGTGGATGTGCAGGAGATGGGTGGTACCACCCCATCCCATCTCTCCAGGCCCCAAAAGGGTTCCTTGATAAACCCATGAAGGGTGGGAGCTCACGAGAAATTCCTGCCTGGGTGGGGCTGGGAGAGCTGAGGGAAGGAGGCTGCCAGCAGTGTGTTCCCTTCTTTGGGCCCCCAGTGATGGTGTCTCTGGAGAACAAGGCCAGTATTGCCGGAGGAGGACTGACCACCCACTACCTGGCCAAGCAGCTACACCTGCACTGGTCGGAGGTGCTGAATAAAGGTTCCGAGCACAGCCTTGATGGGAAACGCTTTGCCATGGAGGTGAGGCCCCTCCACAGGGTTTGTGCCTGACTGGTCTCTGGGGGGTGTCCAGCCCCTCATGGATCTTCTCTCCACCCCCTCCCCATCAGATGCATATAGTACATGAGAAAGACAAAGGGACATCGGGGAACAAGAAAGAGGACCAGAACCCCCAAGATGAGATCGCTGTGCTGGCCTTCCTGGTGGAGGTAACTCCTCCCACCCACCCCCACGCCCCACCCCACCCATTTCCAGGGAACCAGAATTTGAGGCTGAGTCTCAGGAGGCCTGAGGAACCCAGAGCTTCTCCGGACCTCACCCTCACAACTACCCACCCCACCCCTTGACTAGGAGAATGAACTGGAGGTCACCATAGGCTTCCCTACTAGTGCCTCCAGTCTCTCTCCCTCCTGTTCCAGGCTGGATCTAAGAATGATGGCTTCCAGCCCCTGGTGGACGCACTGACTGGCATTCCCCTACCCAGTGAGTCAGGAGGAGAATGGGGGGAGGAGAGGTCTGGGACTTCCTCCCACACAGGAAGGGGAGGAGGACAAGGGTGAGTGGGTGGTATCAGAACCGCAGAGACCCCTTCCCCTCACCGACAGGGTCCTGTGCCCCGCATCATCCCCAGATAATGCTACTACAATGACGGAGGGCATCAGTCTTCTGGAACTGCTTCCCAAGCAGGAGAAACTGAGGCATTACTTCCGCTATCTGGGCTCACTGACCACGCCCACCTGCGATGAGACGGTCGTCTGGACGGTGTTCAAGGAGCCCATTCAGCTCCATGAAGATCAGGTATACAGGGCCCAGGGGGAGGGCTTGGCCTCTCTCGCTTCCTGGCTTCCCAGAAATTGTCCCTTTGGATCCTGCCTGGAGGTCTTCTGGGCTTGGGGTTATGGTGCTGTGGGGCCCAGGGAGCTGAGATCGTGGTTCTGTCCTTGAGAAGACAGACAAGAAATGTCCCAGCAGTTCCCTTCCCTGTGTTGAGGATTGGAGAGGAGGCACACACTGGACCATAGAGGTGGTCAGCAAATGCCTCCAACAGGAAGTGGGTGGGGAGCCAGGCAGGTAACTAAGGCCCTGGAGGCAGGGTCCTAGGGAGAGATGCCAGCTTAGGGGAGGCTAGGGCTGACCTGAAACAGCTGTGAAAGGGTCTGCAGGGCCACAATAGGGAGATAGTGTCTTTATTCAACAAATCCTCATTGAACCCCTGGGGCTAAACTCTGGGGCTACAGCAGAGCCCCAACTTCTGCCCTTGAGGTACTTCTGTTCCACGACAACTGTGCTCAAAGTGTGGTCCCTGAGCCAGTGGTGTCAGCATTATCTGGGCATTTGCTAGAAATTCCAATTCTTGGGCCACACCCTAGACTTACTGAGTCAGAAATGGAAGCAGAGTCCCAGCAAACCCACCAGGTGATGCTGAGGCAAGCTCAAGTTTCAGCACCACTGTTTATAGTCACCTTGGTAATGAGAGCAGCGCTCTTCAGCCCTCAAAGTCCTGAGCTGTTACAAAAGCTGCTGGAATTGTTAAAGGGGAAAGCCAACTTACTCTGTACACTTCCACCCCACTCACAGTTAAAAACCAGACAAACCCGAGAGCAAAAACCTGTGAGTTGTGAGTCCAATCTGTTAAGGGAAGCTGAGGGTCACTGAGTCACTGCCAGGGTCAAGCACTTTCCATTCCTTAGTCTCTTGCTGTGCACAACCACCTGGAGAAGGAGGGTTCTAAACCCTGCTTTACTAATCAGAGAGGGAAAATGACTGCCCTGAGGTCACACAGCACAACAGGAAGTGCAATTCCACCTGCCCCCCCAGGCTGAGAGCTGGTCCTTCCACAGATCCTGGCATTCTCCCAGAAGCTATACTATGACCACCTTAAGAAACTGAAGATGACTGACAACTTCAGACCCCAGCAGTCCCTGAACCAGCGTGTGGTGCTGAAATCCCAGGCCCCGGGATCCCTGCTGTCCTGGCCCCTGGCCGCCCTGCTGCCCTCCATACTCACCCTGATGGCTGGCCTCCTCTGCTGAGGACTCCGCTACTGGACACTTGACCTCTGTCCATCAAGATCTCTGGTGTGGACTTTAGGGATGATTAAAATATGTATATATTTTTGCAGAAGCCTTTCTCAGTCCTGTTTTCTGCAGCTCCCCCACCTGTTCCCCTTACCACCCCTGTCCCAGGGTAGGGACCTTAAAGCCTGGTGATTTCCTGCAGGCGTCCCCACCCCCATCTTTGTGGATTATTCTGTCTATGCCGCCCTGCTTCCTTCTTTCATGACCTCAGAGAGATTTGGAAGGCACCTGGGAGTTCCAACACAAAGAAAGCCAGAGAGTTTCAATTTGTTCTGTGGTGGAGGACAGTGAGACTCAGAAAGAAGAGGCTGAATGGGGACGTCTCAGTGAGGCTGATGAAGACCCCAGCCTTCTTCTCTGCATAAGGCTGGCAGGGGTGGGGGGCAAGGTGGGCATGACCCAAGGAGGTGAGTGGCAGGAAGTTAATTTATTTGCTCAAATATTTCTTTGATGTTTTCTTCAATTCTTTTGAAAAACAATGAATGGGATTTCTGGGTTAAATGGTAATCCATGTTTGGATTTGTCTTTGAGGAACCTCCAAAGTGTTTTCTACAGCATCTGCACCATTTTACCTTCCTATTAGCAATATGGAGTCCTGGTGTGGCACTGTGGGTTAATGCACCAGACTGCAAAGCAGTTTGAACTGCAAGGTCCGTGGGTCAAGCTCACCAGCTGCTCCTTTGGAAACCCTATACAGGGTCGCTATGGGTCGGAACCGACTCAACGGCACTTCACAACAACACAACAAATAGCACTTGGTAAAGTAAAGGGAGTCCTGGTCTGGTGCTGCGGGTTAATGCAGCGGACTGTAAAGTCAGTTTGAACTACAAGGCTGGTGGTTCAAGCTCACCAGTTGCTCCTCAGAACCCTATAGAGGGTCACTATGAGTCAGAACCAACTGAACGGCACTTAACAACTATGACAAAATAGAGGGGAAAAAAAGAAGACCTTTAACAAAACGAATTGACAAAGTGGCAGTAACTATGGGCTCAAACAGCAACAATTGTGAGGATGGCTCACAACTGGGCAGTGTTTCCGTTCTGTTGTACATAGGGTCGGAACGGACTTGACAACACCTAACAAAAACACAATATCTCCACATCCTCTCCAACTCTTGTCATTTTCTGTTTATTTTGAAAATAGTCTTCTAGTGGATGTAAAGTAGTATCCATTGTGTTTTATTTGGGTTTTAATTTTGTGTGGGTGAAGGTTTACAGTTGCTCAAACATTTCTTGAGGTCAAGTCAGGCCCCGGGTATCTGAGGGACCTAGGAGGTACTTGGCGGAAGAGTACCCCAGGTGGAGGGCAGGGCGTCTGCAGGAGGAACAGCAAGGAGGCAGGGGGCAGGCTCTGCAGGACCTCAGAAGTGAGGCTACCTTAAGGCCCCTGCTCTCAGTACTGCCTTGTGTAGCAGGGACTGGAGGAGCTGAGGGCAGAAGTTAGGAGACTACAACACTCATCCAGAAACAGAATTTGCTGGCGGGTCAGAAATGGAATAGAGAAAGGAGTTGGGGCAGAACCCAAGACATTTTGGCCTGAGCACTTGGCACTTGTAAGATGGGGAGGTCAGATCCAGAAACTCAGGGGGAGAGGAACACAAGGGCAGCCTCCGAGGGAGCCAGAGCAGGGCCCTGGAGGGCCCTGCAGGAATGAAGGGGTGGTCAGGCCAGGACTGGAATGTCAAGGAACCTTGAGAAGTGAGGAAGGGCCAAGTATCTGAAGGGGGCAAACTTCCCCTCAGGAAGGTGTGCCAACCAGGCAAGTTCCACTTCTGTGATTTCATTACCCAGTCCTGCGTGCTCTTGGTGGCGGGAAGGGAGCTGGTTGGTAGAGATGACCTCTAAGCTCTCTCCCACCAACGCGCTCAGAGCCCCTGGCTAGGGACTGCTCCCCCTTCCTCTCTCCTCTTGTGACCAGGATTAAGCACGCCCTTGGCTTCACCAATGACCACACAGCAGTCCCCAGTAGGGGGTGGGTATTTGCTGTATCTATGGTAACAGCAGGTAGCCTGTGTTCACTTGTAGTTGTGGGTGATCTTAGCTGCTTCCTCAAGGTTCAGGGCTCTCAGGAGGTCAGAACAGCTCTCCTCCCCCCACTTGGCATCCCATTCCCTTCCCTGAGGCATCACTTAGTGAACAACATGGCAGCAGAACCAGAAAGTTGAGTTTTTTGGGAGACTGAGACACTAAGCAGAAGGCCCTCAACCTTTCCCCATCCTCCTTGACCCCACAGTTAATAGAGCTGGCCAGTGGAGGCCCAAATGGGCACAACTTCTCCAGGGTCAGGACTTAGGCCTCCTCCCCGCGTCCTGCCAGGTGCTCACAGCACACGACTGACTCTCAGCTAGGCCACTCCCAGCCGGTCATCCAGGGCCTGGTTCAACTTCAGTCCACGGCCCCTCCACTGGGGGGCATTCCTTCCAGTTGTGTGTGTTCTCCTGAGTCAATCCCACTGCCCCTGTGCTGCCCACCAGTCCATTCTGGTGAAGGTGGCTCTAAGTTCCTTGTGGCAGCTTATCTCTCAGGGGAGTGAGGGTGCTACCAATGACAGCTTATTCACAAAGACAGACCATCCTGGCTCCCCTGAACCCCACTTCCATTCACTCCCTTGATGCCTCTTGGGGCACCATATTGGCTGTGCATATAATCACGTACAGGTGCCCAAACTAGTACACACACACATACACACACACACAACAGTGCAGCTGACCAGGCCCAAGGAGACGTGCCAGGTGGATCAGATCACACGTGACTTCTCTGAAGGTCACTGGCTCTTTTCTGGTAGGCTCCCAGCACTGAAAGTGATGCACATTTGTTTAATACCCACTGGGTGCCAGGTAGGCGTCATGTCCTTTCTTCACGTTTGTGGTTAGGTGGCATTGAGTTGGTTCTGACTCATAGTGACCCTATGTACAAAAGAACAAAACACTGCCCGGTTCTGCACCATCCTCATAATTGTTGCTAAGTTTGAGCCCATTGTTGCAGGCACTGCATCAATTCACCTCATTGAATGTCTTCCTCTTCTTCATTGACCCTCTACTTTACTATGCATGATGTCCTTCTCCAGAGACTGGTACCTCCTAATAATGTGTCTCAAGTATGTGAGACGAAGTCTTGCCATCTTTGCTCCAAAGGAGTTCTGACTGCACTTCTAAGACAGATTTGTTTGTTCTTTTTGGCAGTCTGTGGTATAAATAATAACTTTGCTAACAACATAATTCAAAAGCATCAGTTCTTCATCAGTAGGCCTTATTGATTGTCCAGCTTTTGCAAGCACGTGAAGCTATTTAAAATACCGTGGCTTGAGTCAGGCTCACCTTAGTCCTCAAAGTGACATCTTTACTTTTTACATTTTAATACTTTAAAGGGATCTTTTGTATCAGATTTGCCCAAAGCAATGCCAATTGATTTCTTGACTGCTGCTTCCACGGGCACTGGTTTGTGGATACAAGTAAAATGAAATCCTTGACAATTGCAATTCACGTAGAAGGCTGTAGTCTTTGATCTTCAACATTAAGTGCTTCATTTCAAGTCCTCATCACACAAGGTTGTATCATCTACATAATGCAGGTTGTTAATGAGTTTTCCTTCAATCCTAATGCCAAGTTCTTCTTTATAAAGTCCAGTGTGATGAAAGGATACAACCCTGACACATGCCTTTCTTGATTTTAAACCACATAGTATCTTCTTGTTCTATTCCAATGGCTGCCTCTTGATCTAGACACAGGTTTTGCTTGAGTACAATGAAGTGTTTTGGAATTCTCATTTTTCTTTATTACAACTACAATCCTTACTATAAACCAGTTGCTACTGACTTGACTCCAACTATTATAAACTGAATTGTATCCCCCAAGATCCTAATTCCTATACCTGTGGTTAGAATCTCATTTGGGAATGGTTTTCTTTGTTATGTTAAGAGACTATATCCGTGTAAGGGTGTATTTTATGCCTACACTATATCAGTGTAGGGTGTATTGAGATACAAAAAAAGCAGATTGGTACAGAAAAGCAAGCAAACATAGGGGAAGAGAAATGCCATGCTATATGAAGATCACCAAGAAGCCAAGAAATAAAAGTTGAGAAGAGACAAATACCTTTGCTACAACCAACAGAGAAAGAATGCCTACCCAAGAGCCAGCACCTTGAATTTGGACTTGTAGCCTGCTAAACTGTGAAATATACATATCCTGTTGTATTATTTTGTGTGAGCACTAGCTTATGAAGACACCATGTACATCACAGTAGAACTATGCTCCATGGGGCTTTCAATGGCTGTGGGTTTTCAGAAGCAGATCACTAGGTCTTTCTTCCAAGGTGCCTTTGAGTGAACTTGAACTTCCAGTGTTCTAGTTAGCAGCCCAGCACATTACCCAGGGAGTCCTCTGCCCTATACATTGTTGTGAAGTGCTGTCGAGTCACTCTTGACTCATAGCAGCCCTGTATAGGGTTTCCACGGAGCAGCTGGTGGATTTGAACTACTGGTTTGCAGTCCAGTGCTGATCCTACAGCGCCACACCCGAGCTGTATTATTTGTCCTTTTTTTACAGATGAGGAAGCTGAGGCTAACAGAGGAGTTAAGGGACCAATCTGAACATGGGTCATTTCACACCTTGGCTCCCAGTTTTTTCTTTTGGCAGTTATTTGAAGGAAACAGATTGTGTTTGGGTCAGGGTGGGGTCTCTGGCACCCTGTCCCACCCTGTCTCCCCTGGCTGCTCTATCTCCAATGGGTCATCTCTCTGGCCCCTGTTTAGATTTGGCATCCGGGTGGGAGCTGGGGACTAAAAATATTCTCCGCGTGTTTAGATGATTCTTGGAAAATAAACTTCCCTATCTTGGCTCTTGATTTGTACACTTGCTGGCCTGGCTTCCTGTGGCTCTGATATGATCGTAGGGGTGTGGGTGTGGGGGTGGGAAGGGAGGAGAAGAGCAAGACCCAGGGCTCCTTCCCACCCTA